GCACTAAAGGCCCTTACGAACCGGCGCTGAAGCTCCGTTTTCTACTAGTGTCTGTGTTCACCTAACTACCACGAATCATAAAAGGATGCACCTAATGAGGTAGATTTTGTTTATGCATTTTCTTTGAAGTTTACGGATGCTATAACTGATTAATAAAACATTGTTCAACCTTCTATGAGTCCACCTAGGGAGCTGTACAAATTTGGAACAACTTCCAGATCAGGCATCCAAGTATTTTCGTCTGCTACCAGTAAGCTGCCAGAGCAAGATAGCTGGGATGTCGAGTCCCTAGGGCAATGGTGAATCACAAATTGCCTGATATTCGATGGGAAGCATCAAACAATACCAATGTCGAAGTAGTAAGATCTGATTGTTCAGCTGATCAAGCCAAGATAAGTGTGCGCGCATCCCCTTTTAGTCCAGATTTAGAAAAATATGATTTCTGCTATGATAGTTTCCAGAACAGTTTGGCCCTTGAGACACTTCCATTGTATGTGTGTGTGTTCCTTTTCTTTCCAGAGATATGCATGTATATAGATATTATTGGAATTGGTTCGACAAACAGTGTATATGTGACAAATTTACTAATATACTGATATGGAATGAAATAAATATCCGTGCTTTCTCACACAGAATCCCCTAGAAATGTTAGGTACATAGGATATGGATAGTCTTTTTCAATGCGATAAAATAAAGCGACATCCTGTCTATTTTTCTTTGCTAAAGGGGTATTTCCATGTCGTATTGAATGATCACACTTAAGAACACAGAGGAGATCTCGACCGGGGGAGGATAAGTGGTGACATAGATGGGGTGACACATTGAAATAAAGAGCGTGGACATGTGCGTTGGGATCGGGAGCTTTTTGTTATGCCGTTGCAACGCACGGGCATGTTTACCCGATTGTTTTATAAATAGTAATTAATATTTCCATAATTATGAAAGTAATAAAGGATACATGCAAATTTTAAAAATAGTAAGGACGCTATGGACAAGAGCGTCCCGACCTGGACGCAGATGCTAACAACGTCATAGTGTGGTCGCTGTTTTTGCTAGCATCCATTATCTGGTTTGACTGGCGGCCGCCGCACCCATCTGGTCTCCATCTCCCACATCCATCTACCTGCCTGCCACGGCCGGCCCTGGCCTCCACACCCATCTCGTCCCCATCTCCCACCTCCATCTCCCTGCCTACCACGGTCGGCCCTGGCCTCCGACCGATCCCCGCCGCCCACCTTCCCACGGACCGCCTTAGCCTCGGCGTCGCTGCCGACATCCTCACGACCGCCCCAACCTCCGGCTCATCCCCGATGACCACACCCTCACGGCTACCCCCAACCTCCTCACGGCCAAAGTGGTGGGTTGAGGGCGCCGCCGCGGCTACATCAGCAAGTCGGTCGAAGGTGGTCGTCCCTCTCTCTTCTCTCCACTGCTTCTCTGTACATCGCCCAAACCATTGATTGCATCTTGTTGTAGCTTTACTAATTTCACTTACTGCCTAGGCATAGCTGAAAACATTAGATTGTTTGACCTTTATTTATCAGTGTAGATTGTGAAGAATAAATTCAAATGATTGCTTTGATATTTTACCTCAACATTTACTCGCTCCTTTTATGCTGTAACAGGGTTTTGAAATGGATAGAAATGGATGTTTCAGTGATTTGCTATGGGTGCCTCACAGCCAGCACAAAATATCCAAAACTTGGGAAAATGTGAGTGATTTCGCATGTCATTTGTTAGACTTAGTGGTTAAATAAAGACTAATTTTTGTGTGTATTGATGCAGCCTAACATTTGCTTGAATGTACGGTGTCACCGTGTTGGCATCCCATTTGATCCTCTATGTACATCAGATTTAGATAACCTTGGTTTTTATCAGATTGCTAAGATGAGGAAAATCAATGTCGGCAAATACTTGATATCGGCATTGGTGGAGCGTTGGTGGCCCGAGACAAATAGTTTTCACCTACCTGTAGGAGAAATGACTATTACGTTGCAAGATGTCAGTTGTTGGTGGGGGTTGCCTATCCAGGGTAAACCACTTGTTGGCAAAGCTGATGCACAATGGTCAGAATTAGTTGAGAGGTTGTTTGGGATTCCTGTGGATGAACAACACATGAAACAAAAAAAGGCGAAAAGGCGTTGATAATATTGTTGTTAGGAATTCACAATACTCTCTAAATTTGGGTAAACTGCGGGAACACTTCCATGTGTTGCCAGATAATCCAATGGAAAGGGAGATTCATTGGCATGCTCGAGCACTTGTTCTAGATATCCTTGGCTCCATAGTCTTTACTGATACATCTGGAGATGGAGTGCCAACCATGTATCTCCAATTTATGCAGGATTTAGGACAACAAACAGAGTATAATTAGACAGCAGCTGCTCTTGCTGTGTTGTATAGACAATTGAGCATGGGTGTTAAGAAGGGGAGACTAGAAATTTCAGGGCCTTTATTGCTGCTACAGTTATGGTCTTGGTCCCATTTGCCACTTGGTCGCCCTAAAGTTATTTTTGAGAAGCCCAAAGAAGGAGATGAACCTGATGAAGAAGAAGATGAACACGAAGTACACTTGGATTATAACCCTGTTTTTGGAGCAAAGTGGTGTGCTGCACATGCGTTTGATGTCCCTCACAATGCTGGTTTGTATTCTTCTCACCAAATTTGTTACACATCATTTGTGGTATGATAAACAATTTTAGTAACTTGCAATCAAATATATAGGTACTGAATATTATCGAAATCAAATTGATTTGATTCCAGAAGGTGTAGTTGATTGGCAACCATATGATGATCTTCTAGAGCAGATGCCTTTCGAAGTTCATCAAGATTCTGATTGGTGGTTTGCTAGAGTACCGCTCATGCATTTTTGGATTGTGGAGTTCCACTATCCACATAAGGTGATGCGGCAATTTGGATTAAGACAACCCATTCCACCTTCTCTTCCACGTGGCGAGGCAGAGGTTTGGAGACTTCGAAAAATTAAGCATTTTGCAGGAAAATCGAATAATTGGGAGTTAGTCCATGCGAATTATGTTCAAGAATACAATCGTGTTGAAGCAAGAGTGTGGCCAGAGGACATTCACTTTGATGTAGCTAGTTTACCTGAGTATAGACATTGGTTCCAGCAAAATGGTATGTACACAATATTATTTGACTCTCAATGCTTAGGAGGCCTAAATGAACCTATCACATATCCTCGAGATAGCATCGAATGAACCGGCTACATGCCTAGCGGCCCGCCATTGGCTCACATTGTAAGTGTGTGCAAGATTTTAATTATTTCTTTGCAACACATTAACAATCACATGATTTGAAATTTGTATTGTCTCTTGTAGAGCCTACGTGAGATAAAGAATGCTGCATGGGGGATCAAATGTGCTACTACTACTGGATGCAAGAAGATAGGAAGATCTATATTGAGGTCTTGTGTAGGAAACCTGATGGATCTGAAAATGGAGCCTAGGCTATGAAGCATGCTCGCTGAGGCTAGATTGCCGCTGAATATCGAAGATATCCCATCTGATGATGAGGTGTCAGATATTGCTCACCCACCGAGTCCCCCAAAGGAAAGCAACTCCGATGTATTTAATGAGTGGAATTACTCTGGGAGAGGTTTTACAACATATCTCAAGGTTGAAGAAGCCATAGGAGATGGAGGACGGACAACACAAGATGCAAGTCAAGCTCCCAGTTTTCGGTCAAGGAGTTCTTCACAAGTAGTAAATTAGAATGGATCATATGGTGATATGCTATGGCCATCTGCACCGACCTAGAAGTGTAACTGACTAGATGTTTATTTCTTTTTGCTCAACAAAAACAGTTCATGGTTCTGCTTTGTAACATGCCAGACATGGGTTGTAATCCTTTCAAGCTATGTCACTCCTCCTTGGCGCTAAGCTCAATGGAATTTTCCCAGAATACTAGTCATCATATGATTTTGTGTCCAAATTTCAACAAATCACATGCGTCAATTAAACAAAGACTGAAACCAACAGAATGCAAGACGACCTTACCCCAAATCATATGCGCCAACCACGAGATAGATTGGAGGATCTTAACCGTGAGCGGGGAACAAGAGAGATAGAGATGCCGTGATGATTAGAGATGTGAGTGTTGGAGGCTGGTTAGCACATGGCGACGTTGAGGAGCGACGAATCCATGCGTACTAGGGTTTACTGGAGACATAACATCCGTCTATTAGAGGAAAACGACTCGGTTTAATCTATTTAGGGTGCAGACCAAACCATTTGCTGGACGTTGTTTGTATTGGCGTCCAAACCGGACGTTCTGCACAATAGCGTCCAGCTGTGGACGCTGTTTTCCCTCGCGTCCTTTCTATTTTTCAGATTTTGGCTAACCCTTTCCCACTATCGTAATTACGTCATTACTAATTATTAGTAATAAAAAATCAGCATGTTTACTAGTAAACATAATAAATGTAATTAAACATAAAAGTGGCTGATCAAACGCCGGCCAAAGCCCACCTAAATCTAATAAACATTAAATAGAACATTAAATAAAAGTCTGCGCACGCCTGCTGCCATCCCGCACGCTACCCTAGATGTCGTCGGCCTTGCTCTTGCCCTTTCCATCGATGTCGCCGTCGTCGGTGAGGTCGATGAAGACCGGAACAGGGCCAGCCCACCCGAATGACGCCTGGTACGCTGCCATGGCAGCCTCCTCCGGCGTCTACTGGGGCAGCGGCATTGCGGCCAGCCGTGCACGCTCCTCCTCCTCCTCCTCGAGCCGGAGCGCCTCCGCATCGCGTTGGAGCATGGCCTCGTAGCGCATCTGCTCCTCGCCGTCGGCCTGCTCCTGGCGGAGCCAGTGCTCCTTCCATCGCTCGAGGTGGGCCACCTCCTCCTGCGGCGTCGCGGCAAAGTGGACGGAAGGCACGCTCACCCACTCGCGGTACTGGCCCGTCCATGAGTAGGCCTCCTCCGGCCAAGTGGGTGGAGGCGGGGAGCGCTTACGCGTCGGCTCCGGCTCCGTCTTGGCTGGATGGGCGGCGACAGTGGCGGTGGCGGCATGAAGAGGAGGGTGTGGACGGAGTCCCCCGCCGCCGACAGGGCAAGGGCTTGCTCTAGCCCATCCCAGTGCGCGTCCTCCTCGAGGCGGCTAGCCTCCAGCGCGTGCTGTAGGGCCTCCTCGAGGACGGCTTGATACTCCGCCTCTGCCTCCATGTCCTCCGGCTCTACCTGCGGTGGCGGCGATGGGAACGGCGAGGGACGGTGTCGACACCTGAGCGCCGTTGCTCCTCGTGTTCGCGGGAAAACCACGCCTCCCAGTTAGGGGAGTCGGTGGCGTACTCTGGCACCCGACGCTGCTCCGGTGTGAGCTGCATGTGGCGCCTGCGCACCTCGTCGTCGTGCGCCCGCTTGGTATGCGGAACAGCCGGCACCGGGATCCGCTGCGGATCCAGATGCCAACGGTGCGATAGCGTGACATCGGGGTACGACAGTGGCTGCCTGTACTCCTAGTGCCACCGCGCTTGGTGCACCGTGTTGGGGAACGTAGCAGAAATTCAAAATTTTCCTACGTGTCACCAAGATCTATCTATGGAGAAACCAGCAACGAGGGGAAGGAGAGTGCATCTACATACCCTTGTAGATCGCTAAGCGGAAGCGTTCAAGAGAACGGGGTTGAAGGAGTCGTACTCGTCGTGATCCAAATCACCGGATATCCTAGTGCCGAACGGACGGCACCTCCGCGTTCAACACACGTACAGCCCGGTGACGTCTCCCATGCCTTGATCCAGCAAGGAGTGAGGGAGAGGTTGAGGAAGACTCCATCCAGCAGCAGCACAACGGCGTGGTGGTGGTGAAGGAGCGTGGTGATCCAGCAGGGCTTCGCCAAGCACCGCGAGATATGAGGAGAAAGAGAGGTAGGGCTGCGCCAACAAGAGGAGAGGAACTCGTGTGTATTGGGCAGCCCAAACCTCAACTATATATAGGGGGAGGGGAAGGGCTGCGCCCCCACCTAGGGTTCCCTCCCTAGGGGTGGCGGCAGCCCCCTAGATCCCATCTAGGGGCGGCCAAGGGGAGGGGAGAGGGGGAGGCGCACCAGGGTGGGCCTTAGGGCCCATCTGCCCTAGGGTTTGCCCCCTTCCCCTCTTCCTTGCGCCTTGGGCCATGGTGGGGGGTGCACCAGCCCACCTGGAGCTGGTCCCCTCCCACACTTGGCCCATGCAGCCCTCCGGGGCTTGTGGCCCCACTTGGTGGACCCCCGGGACCCTCCCGGTGGTCCCGGTACGTTACCGATAAACCCCGAAACTTTTCCGGTGACCAAAATAGGACTTCCCATATATAAATCTTTACCTCCGGACCATTCTTGAACTCCTCGTGACGTCCAGGATCTCATCCGGGACTCCAAACAACATTCGGCAACCACATACAAACTTCCTTTATAACCCTAGCGTCATCGAACCTTAAGTGTGTAGACCCTACGGGTTCGGGAACCATGCAGACATGACCGAGATGACTCTCCGGTCAATAACCAACAGTGGGATCTGGATACCCATGTTGGCTCCCACATGCTCCACGATGATCTCATCGGATGAACCACGATGTCGAGGATTCGATCAATCCCGTATACAATTCCCTTTGTCTATCGGTACGATACTTGCCCGAGATTCGATCGTCGGTATCCCGATACCTTGTTTAATCTCGTTACCGGCAAGTCTCTTTACTCGTTCCGTAACACATCATCCCGTGATCAACACCTTGATCACATTGTGCACATTATGATGATGCCCTACCGAGTGGGCCCAGAGATACCTCTCCGTTTACACGGAGTGACAAATCCCAGTCTCGATTCGTGCCAACCCAACAGACACTTTCGGAGATACCCGTAGTGCACCTTTATAGCCACCCAGTTACGTTGTGACGTTTGGCACACCCAAAGTATTCCTACGGTATCCGGGAGTTGCACAATCTCATGGTCTAAGGAAATGATACTTGACATTAGAAAAGCTTTAGCATACGAACTACACGATCTTGTGCTAGGCTTAGGATTGGGTCTTGTCCATCACATCATTCTCCTAATGATGTAATCCCGTTATCAACGACATCCAATGTCCATGGTCAGGAAACCGTGACCATCTATTGAACAACGAGCTAGTCAACTAGAGGCTTACTAGGGAC